AATAGTAAAGAAAATAAGGAAATGAATACTTAAAGAATTGTCTAACTACAATTTGTTTGTTTGCTATTTGTTTGTTTTATTGATGATGTTTAATGGTAATGAAGGTTGCCATTTCAATCCCTGTGTCGGGTTCGATTCTGGATTTAAATGCCATATTTGGTTTATCATATAATGGTGTTATCTTATCTAACAATAATTAATTTATATACTAATAACAACCCTTTGGTTTGGACCATTCCCTTACAAAAAAACTTAAAAACTCCAATGATGTAAAAAAATCAATTGGAAAATTTTGTATACTTTGAATAGTTGTTTTTGGAACACTATAAAAATAATTATCAAAAGATCTTTTCATGTATTTCGCTACGGATAATTACAATCGCAAAAGTTTTTAGACGGGTCGAGTGAAGAGACAGCCATTTGTGACACTTGTGCCCGAGTATTTGGTGTGTTTAGCGCCAGGCCGGGGTGTGAGGGGTGTAATGGCCTGCTTTGTAAGGGTCGTGACCCATTGACATTTCTACGCCTCCCTGATTAATCATTCTTAACCTGTCATTGTCATGTTGCGCTTCTTCTCCCCCCTCCCACTCTTTCTCTTTCTCTCTACACATTTGCATTTTTATTGTTCCTTCTCCCTGTTTAAGTACCGTCCAATTAAGTGTTTTTTTTCTCACTGTCAACATAGGAGTTCTTAATTAAAATTTCGGGCTTTATGCATGTTTTCTCGCTGAAAGGTTTTGCACGATTTTGGAAGGTTTATTCTTTTAGCGTTAATGAACGACCTGTTTGGTTTGGAGCTTAAATAAACCTAACCCATGCCAAACTTGTTTACAGTTAGGAAGTACAAAGCAAGTATGAAAACAAAATGCATTACTAGTTTTGAGTAGCTTATGTATTTTACTCTTTTATGGCTGTTTAAAAACATGTATTGTTACATTTTTATTAAAATAATCTCAGACAGATTTTTTGAGATTGAAAAAAAATTATTCAAAATAATTAATCGGGTAAAATCGAGGAATTTAAGAGGGTAAAAATTAGTTTTATTGCATTGAGTAAAGACATGTACCCACTAAAAATAACTCAAGTGCTAATTAATAACAAATGAAAATTTTAAACCTCTTTATAGCAATAAAAAAACAAATTCCTAACTGATACTAGACAACTGCAAACATATCTCCTGAGTACTCAAACGGTAGTAAAACTCCCAAGATGGAGTATGGCATTTTTCAGGATGAGAACGAAGGTATATTGCGTGAAGATTTGTGCAGTAATGTGCGTATGTGGTCAGTAGGACTACTCAGTATGACAAACACGAACAACAAGAACCAGTCTAGACCAGCCTGTCTGAGGTCGAGCTGTCAATCACTGTCAAACACTACACGCACACAAAAACTCATGCACACACGCACACAAACACAGGCTCTCTAACATCAAGAGTTGTCTGAGAGGATAAACAAAACTGCACAATAGGTTGCAGGTTTTATAAACTTTTTATTTGTTATTTTGACCAAATATATAATGAGAGCTTGAAAAATTTTAAACTATAATTGGTTTGATTGTTAAAACCATTCATACATTATTTACCATGGATAACCAAGTATTTAATTTTTTATGGAAAACAAAATTATCGCACGAATTCAATTGTTAACTAAAATAATTAATTACCTAGTAAACATCTATGTTTGGTTTCTTGTTTGGGACTATGATATTGGACTTAATAATATGTATAATATTACTATCCATATCCTGGAACTATTATTTACTTTTAAAATGTAACATCAATTTATTTACACTACTTTGCCAACAGCTTTATTAACAAAAAGGAATTATGTCCAAATTCACAGTTTTTATTTATAAAGAAAGGAGATCCAAGCATATAGCTATTCTACAAGTAAACAGTATATCAAAATTTGTATTTAAATAAATATATTTTACAATTCATCCTCATTTGCATCAGTTACACATCAAACCTTCTTAAATACTTAGCAAGTTAGTGAATGTCAATCAGACAATGCTGGATCAGCATCATCTCTTATGTTGTATAATTTTTTTTAAATCTCGACTGCAATGGAATTTAATGTCAAAACTGATAACGAGTTCCAATAGATTATTTTGAAGATAAAAACATATTTTCCCAAAATGTAATGAACGATGACCCTTAAAAATTCAAAAATCAAAAGGTGTATGTGTATTTGAAGGCTGCTGTATTGCGTAACAGAAGACTGAAACAAATCTCCGAGGGTACAAGCTATGCACATCATTGTGCATCTGAATGGACGAGACTCTATTCTTAGCTGACTGGTCTACTCTAGAAATATCCGACTGTCACCCAAACAGTCTGTGACACTTTGTTTGTTTTGTAAGTGCAGTGGTACCTCAGTAAGAAGACATTTGATAAAAAGTGGCCCTTAATAACAAAGTGTTATTTTCAAATACCCTCGAGTTTATAACTCGTAATTGCATGTTAATGCAAACCTCGAAAGGCAGACAAACTTGATAACAAGTCTTATTTTTTTCATTCACACGAGAGACTTGTTATAGAGGTTCTACTGTAGAGTTTAAAGAGCTTTCACTGGGATTGTAAATCTATGATCGAGAGAATGTAAAATTTGCTGAGATTGTAAAAGGTAAAATGAGGAATGCAGTAACGATCACATTCAATTATAAAACAATTTTTGAAATGGTGTAAACAGTTATAGTTTTGAATAGTATAGCAACTTGCTTTTGGTGTCGTCTTCAGGCTATATATGCCATGTCTATGCTCCTGAACTCATTGAAAATTGCAATTTAAGTTGATATAAGCAAGTATTTACACCATTTTCAATATGGGTAATCTGGAGGTTGGAACGCCATAATGAAAAAGTGTAATGAATAGTTTTTGCTGCAAATATGTTACAATCATGGATAGTTGTCAGTTAATGTTTTAATGATTTTATTCTGTTTAAATAATTTTTATATTTGTTACTTTTGGTTAATGTATAATTTACTGTTGAAAAGATACTTGGAAGATCCAAACATAAAATCAAATCCACACACATTTATCGTGGAAATAAGAATACGCTTTGTAAAAACTTACAGTAAATGTTCATAGAATATTTTTTTAAATATGTTTGCTCCATGGAAAGAACATTAAGATAATTTTCTGGAATAAACAGGTAAAGTAGGCCGAATTATTTTATAAAAAGACCAAAATGAAATAAATTGTAGTAGGCTATGACAAATTTCATAAAAGATTTAAAGCATAAAACATTTAACCTAATATTGTAAATAGCTGGATTGGTCTTACCATAGAGGTTAGAGTTTGTCTGTCAATAAAATGCTTACACGTCTAAAAAGAAAAAGGTTTTTACAGTAATTTCAACAGTGTAAACTGTCATCAGTATAATGATGACTCATTGGCTTCGTTAGGATTTTGATCATTACCTGAGTCAGATCATTATACATTGAAAAACTTGGATCTGACCTCATGTCAAAACTAACAACATTTGGATTATTTACCTGACAGAAAAGTTGGATCCAGCAAAATTTATAACGTGCATAACACACAACCAATGAAATGAAAAAGTTCTGATATATATTTGAGATCTTACAAACCCAAACAGTTAAAATAAAAATGAAATACATTTAGAAAGATGTAAAATGTAAATGAAATTAGATGAGGTAGAACAAGGTATAAACATTGCAAAATGGTTTGTGGTATTTATATTTTGGATACAAAGCCATGATGAAACTAACTTGATTAATGGTACATCCCGGATGATAAGAACAGAAGAAGTTTGTCAAAGCAGTGTTATGACTGATGAAAAGAAATACAGAACATGGACAAGAACTAGCATAGTGGCCAACAGAATGTGATTGAGGGAAAAAACAATCCTAAAAATTATTAAGGTACGCCTAAAAATCTGAGTAATGAATTATTATAAACAAGTTTGCTGGACACAATCTATTTCTGAGTTCTGTAATAAGGACGTCAGTTTGTCAGTTGGGGTGTTTTATATTCCTTGCTAATGATATGATATTGGCAGCCTTCTGGACACTGATTTGCTGCCACTTATCATGTTTATTTTGGAGTCATTTCACCTACTTCTGTTGATTGACAGTTTAATATACAAATGCAGCGTCATTTTGGTTATTTGTGACTTTTTAATATTAATAAATTAACATAGATACAGACATTTATTGTGTGAAAAAAATATTGATTTGAAGGACATTTAGTAAGGAGCTTCATTAATTGGTTAATATTTAGTTTATTGTTAAATATTTGTAACTAAAAATAATTTACAAGTGTAGTAAAAATGTAAAAGTATTAAATTAAAAAAAAAAAAAACATAATTTATTAATTAACATATATATGTACAGGTCAAGTCTGAGATATTTTAAAACTCCTCCTGCATCAAGATTTTCCTTAAGCTGAGATTTTGTATTCAATTAATGTGTTATAATGTCATTTAATAAATTAATAAGTCACAATTATTCTTTTTGAAATGAATTTTAATCTTATAGGCCTAATGCAAAGTTAAATGGTGTTTTTAAGTGCATATAAGCATAATGAATGAAGAAAAAAGTGAGCAAAAAGTAATGAGTGGAGAAACTCGGTTATGAGAAATAGGGTTTTATTTTTTCAAAGGGCAATATTTTCTTTAATTTGTAGACTCGTTGACTAATAATTCACGATACATACCAATAATAAATGGACTTATTGAAAGTAAATTTTTGAAAACATGATGAGTGATTTAGGGTAAATTGTGGACAACTTTCATGACTTTGGAGACTATCTAATTGTCTTCTGCGATTTCAGAAATCTTTAAAGACGCATGAAATCACGATGATGTGAGAATAAAAACTCTGTTTGATTTTCTATCTTGGTAATCAATTGAAAGAATTCGGCTTGTCTGAAACATCAAGCCACTCATATACCACTAACTAACAACTACAATCGTTGAACCTCCAGCTTCTCGAATCTCGAATGCTAACAATAAGAAGGACAAGTGGCTCCCTACCTTGTCAGAGTCTGTGGTGTTGCCAGAGCCAAACGATGCCAAAGACCCTCTATCAAGGTTCTCTACACTCTCGTCCAGTGAGGCCGAGTCCTCAAGGTCTCTGTCAGAACAAGAGTCAAAATATGAGTCATCAGGATAAAAATGACTACTAGCATCACATAAAGGTGTGAATGGAATTGTGTTGGATTGTATTGCTCCTCAATTCGTCATAAAAGGTTTTGGAATGAGGAGTGTCAATGGTTTGTAGGTTAACTCTTACAAGACAAGGATGTAACATACAGCAGGACACAAGTGAATAGCTTTTAATAATTTTGTTAGGACATCAGATATACCTGAATGGGAAGAGTGCATCCTTGAATAGTCAATGATCCTGGCATATGAAACACATAATCCTACCACTATATACACATTCTGATTTTCACGGTGACTGACAACATTTTTAACTAATGAAGGTTTAAAATGGAGAGAGATTTTTTCAATCCTTTTAACTCAAACTATGAATTAATCAAATTTTTGTTTACAGGGTAACATTTTGTGTTTCTTGTGCCCAAGGTAGATCCATTCACTCCATTTTCCCATTACCCATTTAGGTAAGGTACAGTACATCACAAGCACAAGGGCATATCTTTTAAGGATTTTTGTTAGTATATCAGGCTTACCTGAATGGCATATGAAACACAAATCCCTACCACTATATACACACACATTCTAGTTTTTCACAGTGACTGAGAAAATTGTCAACCAATGACAGTTTAAAATGGGAAGATAGATGTCTTAAATCATTTTAACTCAAACTAGAAATTAATTATTCTAATTTTTGTTCACTGGGTAAAGTTTTGTGTTTCTCGTGCCGGGATGGACCCATTCACCCCATTTTCCCATTACATATACAAATAAGCCTACTATCCTAACAAAAATCCTCAACACCAGAGGAAAAAGTAAAGTTTATAATACTGCCCTAAGCTTGTCTTAGAGAACTATCTTAAGTTGTTTCTAAACCCACAGATCTTAGTTTGCTCCAAATCCCAAGCCACAGTATTATTACACAGCTGATTACGATTGGTGACAGGCAGTATAACAGCCTTCCAACCAGAATTTGTACGCTCAAAGCAATAGACCAGCTGATCCCCACAGTTGGCCACAGTTTTATTATATATGTTTTCTGATCCATAAGTTTCATAAACTACAACTACACACTATGATTACAACGTCCTCTCCACATCTCTAGCAACTATGTTTGAACTATTGTCTGTACATTCAGAACACCAAACTGCATATTACGTAGGTTGTTAACATAAGTTTTACTATGACATTTGTGCTATCCATACCTGCTGGATCGCTGGCTGCTTCCCTTCAGTTTGGCAGGACTCTTTGGCAGACTGAGAGGGAGGGCTGAGCTGAAGTAGGTCTCTTGTATGACTTCTCTCAACTTCTTCACCCAGTGTTGTTTGCTCTCCAGAGAAGAAGCCTGAAACATCGGAGAAAAACTGTTAAACAACAGTCATGCTAAGAAAAATAGTAATAACCAGCTGTGAAAAATAAAGTTTTTGTAAAAAAGTGCTACATACACACAAACAATTAGAGCCCACCACAAATTCTCTTTCAAAACAAGACTTCCATATTTCTGTTCTATAGAGATAATATTAACATAGACAAAAAGTATTGAATATGGACTGCCAGCCGTGCTGCGGTTACTATAGTTACCATAGGTTCTGGCGCTGACCGCTGGGAGTGCCGTGTAGCTTCATAGCGCTTATGCTGTAACAACATGGCTCTCCCAGTGGTGTGCACCAGAACCTATGGTAACCGCAGCACAGTTGACGGTCTATATTTAATTCTTTTTGTCTATGATATTATGCAGGTCCGGTCTCAAACCAGCTATGTTTGTCCTATCGACCTTATACTTACACAACTACTACCAAAAGGTTCCGAGATCAGAAAATTTAATTAATTGTGAAAAATAAATTGTGCAAACAGTTAAGTTGTATGTAAATCAACCTAAGCTTGTCATATTTATGCGGAAAGATTTAGCGTATACCACGTTATACTTCACTTACTTAAAGTAAAGGTTACACAAGCAAGGTAAGGTACCTTAAGGACGATTCGGAAGTCTGATATGGGTGCTCGTCCAGTCCACACGGCAAACTTGCACTCGTCTCCTTCTATGTGTTCCGTCACTCCCAACTCAGAGGTCTATAATGGCAAAATATGATTTTAAAAGTAAGAATCGTGTAACAACAAATAACTACAGCTTGAAGTACAAAGATAAGTAATTTTTGTGCTGTTACTCAATAGACTGTGTGATAAGATCTGATAGAAATTGCAACAGCTAATACTCCATACAAATTCATCAAGAATCAATTAAGATTGCATGAAATCTCATCGAACCATTTTCTTGCAACAAAATAATTCCTGATAAAATCCAATAAATCCTATTCAAAACAAATTTAAGATCTGCGACAGCCTAGAAATATTCCAACTACTGGGGATCTCGCATTGGGAAGGAGCAATAAGAGGGCACATTGAATAGAATAGTACCATTGACTATTGACAAAAGTAGATATCCCATGCCATGTTAAAAAGTAGCCAGTTTTAAAAAAGAAATCAACATTGTTGAACTAAGCAACTGACAGAGTGAAATGATGTCACTTACTGATTACTGTTTAATACAACAAATTTGAAAGGACTAAGTTTAGCATCTTTTATACAGGGTGTTTTTTTAAAAACTTGTTTCTTAAAAACTGCAATAGATAGAAATTATGCAGTTTGAGAAAATCATCATTGATGTAGAGGCCAAAACAATTGTGAATCAAACTTTAAGCTCCCATTCACCCCCTTTCTCCCCCTACCTTTAACTTAAAATGTTAAAATTGCAAGGTACCCCTTGTGACATATCAAATGAAAGGGCATGAAAAAAGAAAAAGGATGGTGCAAACTAGAGGCCTCTTTGACTAGGGGGAGAGAGGGGGCAAATGGGAACTTAACGTTGAATTCACAACAATTGTGGTCTCTACTTCAATAGATGATTCCCGCAAACTGCATATTTCTATCTTTTGCAGTTTTTACATAAATAAAGGAGCAAGTTAAAAAAAAACACCCTGTATAAAATAGAATATCATGATATCAAAGACTAAGGGAGAAAATATAATTTTGACAATAGCTCATTCTGTGAGTGGTTATTTCAACTATGTTTAAATTTGAATAAACATGCGTAAAGCAGTGCCATACAAATAGGATGTCTACTTCAGTATCCAAGAGTCAACGATGGTAGATTGTTTTGGTGAATAACAGCTCTACTAGTAACTTCTGCTAGTCAAGGTGAAAGAATTGTCACTGGCACCTCCAACTTATTTCATCCACAAAACCAGTACTTGTAGATACTTTTTTTGTCCTAGGATGCTAGGCACGAGCCCGGAATTGTTTTTCACATTACTTCAGGCTAGACCTAGGGGTTGCGGCATTATCACATGGATAAAATCCATTGGTGATTTGACAGGATTTGAACCCAGGACCTCTGGAACCGAAATCCCACACTCTAACCACTAGACCAGCTCGCTCCCCAAAAAACTTGTAGATACTAGGACAACCTAACGCTAAACTATGAAACATTTGAATGCCCAAAACATTACCACCATAGCACCCTATCCTTGATCCTTGGATACTTGATAGAATTTTTTCTATGGTGATTTTAAACAATATTTTCAAAACACATACCACAAAACACTTACCATAAGTTTATTCTTGTAGATGTACTTCGCTTTCCCACTGGAGTCCTTCACTTCCTTACTGAACACCAAGTACAGTTCAAAGAGGAAGCAATGCCTCTCCCTGCCTTTCCTGATCAGCTGTTTAGGGTCCCAAACATGCAGAGTGTCCTGTAGTATCACTTCTCCCAACTCGTCCGAACTAATATCACAGCCTTCCAGGAGAGATAGATGAAGTGCGTCGTTGGCTTTCTTGGGGACATTCAGCATCACTTCTAGCCCATCCTGAGGAAAATAAACGCTATCAGCAATATGACACATACTTTCTCTCATTAGCTTGTCAACACCCCTCATCAAGGGCGGTGGGAGTAGCTATGATATTTTATGGGGGAAACTACATAAGCTGTGATACATCTAAACTGTAATTCTTATAGCATTGGGGGTTGAACTATTTTGATTATCCATAACATACTAAATTTTAATCAAAATAGTTTGAACCGTTTTTGTGAAGATTTGATTTTTCTTGTTATTTTATTATAAGGGTTTTTATGAAGAAATTACCACTAAAAATCAAAATTAAATTAAGTTATCTAGTCTATATGAACCAAACTTCAATAGCTGAGTTTGGACGTTCACATTTTAGATTAGTTTTTTTTTGTGTATTTTCGAAGTATTTACGATGTTAAGATTTTCTCGAGAGTTTTTAAATGAATATAGAGTTCAGCAACATTTTTACAATATCAAATGTTTTTTTTTTTTGTTTGTTTAGGTCACTTAATAAAACTTTCTTTTTCTTACCATTCAATAAACAAAACACTAGCAGCTGACAGCACAGACTACATCAATAACATCGTTAATACAAATCAATGCTAAATAATTCTATTGTTTAATATATCCTACTTAGTCTATAGACGTTATCTACTAAGTTAAATAATTTGAGAGCTATGTAATTAAAATTATGTTTTACAAAGTAAGTATATGTCCAGAATTTGAATATACACATTGGTTTACACAATGAGCCAATATATGTAGATCTAATTTAGCTGGAAATAAAATTCCTATTTAAATGCCTACTAAATATATGAGATGTTTCCTGAATAAATTTTTAACAACTCTGGAGCAAAAACATACTCTAGGTAAGGGCCAAGTTTTCCTTTTGGACGGAGATTTTGACCGTTTCTTCTTCTTCCACATTGCTCACAAGCGTAAATGTTATACTTTGCACTCACAGTAATACACTAACACATCTTTCACAAATGTTTGAACCGAAATACAGTAAACGAATACATTTTCAACAATACAATGTACAAAACTGGTAACGTTAAACTCAAAACCAACAAAGAACACTGTCAATAGCAACACACCTTCAGAACCACTCCTATGGTACAAACAGTGTGAGTTCTAAGTGTCTTATCAGTAAGGTAGATAGTGATGTCTATGACCAATACCTAGTTATCACAAGATTGTTTTGATCTGAATATATATCAACAATTGACACACTTTTAAAATTCTTTAGATATGCAATTATTTTGGATGCAATGTTGGTTAAGGGATAAGTGTAAAAAATATGTTAGGAGGAAGGCGTATAATATTTATAGACTGATGTTTATAAAATAATTCAAATCAGTTTTAAGTTTACCAACAAGTGTTTTTTGTAAACGCAATTCAACACAAGTGTTTTTTGTAAACGCAATTCAACACAAGTCAATAGATCTGTGTAGATTGACAGGTAAAAATATTTCTCAAATGATAACAGACAGTCACCATAACTACTTTTCTGTATGTTGTTCTAAAATATGTGATGTAATATTACAAATGTAAGTCACGTGAGTATTTCAACTGCAGTCGTTAAGGATTGAACCAGTATTCGCTAGCCTCATTCCAAAATTCTGTCATAAGCTACCATTTCTTCTTCTTCTTCTGGGGAACAATACTCTACAGGATGTTATGGGCTATAAATAAACATCCTGTTTCCTTACCATAATGGTTGTATCTGTAATTTCAACTAAAGAACCCTTCAGTTCTTCAGTTCTTTAAGTTACTGTAAATAACGATGGATTTGGAGATTATCAATTAATACAAAAAGTATTAAAATAAGAATTTTTTCATTGACTCTTGCCTACGACTGTAATTTATTTCACTGAAAGTATTTGACTTAACCCTGTTTTGGGTTGATTTGTGAAATTTCTATTGTCAATACTTAAGAAAAAAAATGGGATAAGTGAAGGACTTCAACTTTTTAGTTTTTAGGGATTGCCTGTTTTAACCGACCTTTTACGTTATCTAGGTCCGGTCCCGTTAGGGTCGGTTAACAGGGGGTCTACTGCATATAGAATAAAGAAAGAATTTTTTCCGGATGAATAAATATTTAGCCTAGCTTCTTATTAATAGGGGATTGTCCCTGAACACCAGGTAAAATTGAGGGACTCTCCAATATTGCTTAGGACATACTACTTGCTAATTAACATGTTTCGGTTTTGGAAACATCGTATTACTAAGAATTGTCTAGATTGGTGTTTTTCAAGGATAGCAGAAATATTGACGAAATAGAGAGTCAACAGGAATGTTAGTAGGATCGGACCATTTTATCCAGTAGGGACAACCACAGATGCGTGCTTGTAAACTAAGCTAAAGGAGGAAGAAGGGCTCATTCAGTGGAAGGATGTAATTCGACCTAATCAATATTATTTTGAGTGTAATTTTGTACATTTTCAGATGGCAAATGTGTTGGGTTTTAATGTACCCAACAATGCAAATTAAACTTTATTGTTCATCCAGCATCAACAATACCTTTATTTCCCCCTGGCCTTCATCACAGCAGGACTGAAGATCTTTAAGCAACAGCTGGTACTTGGTTATCCTCTGGACAGGTTTGATCAGATAGGCAGCTATCGGATGTTCAACTCGATGTTTCTTCTGCAACTCTTCAAATATCGTGCCTCCGTGCTGCACCAGCAGTGAGTTGGACTCGGGCTTGTTCTTGCAGTATTTGACGTACATGTCGAACTTGAGTGCCTGTAAGGAGGTGGTCAATTTAGCAACTATGTTATTATTCAAGGAACTACATGGCTGAAGAGGATGAACATTGTGTAGAAATAGAAGAGTATACAAGGGTTGTCCGTAACTTAATGTCTCAAACAAACTTTCGTAACGACCAAGCTAGAGCTAGATCAAATCTTAGACCAGTATAAATTTATTTACTTTATCCTCTAAAACTCTAGCTGGTTCCCAACCTTGATTAAATCATCAAAGCCCAACTGAAATAATGATTTTTTGACTCATACTGGAAAAAAATTGTAGAGATATGATAAACCCTTCAATTTACTGAATACCTAATATGTTTCCATTACAGTTGTGCAATCAAAAGTGTGACTTTAAATTTTCAAATCCTTTATAAGTTAAGGTGTTCAAACATTTTACTGAGCCCTTGGTGTTAAAATTATCTAAGTTCCATCATACAAATCCTTATAACTGGAATTGATTCAGAGCTTATCCTCTTACCCAGGTAACAAAACAATGTCCCACATCTTCTGGCATCGTCTCGTACTTCTCGAGCTCCTTCAGAAACACATCCCGGTGGAAGTCCCGGATGTCCTCGATGTTGCCAAAGATGATGTGTTCCTTGCCCAGAATGCCCGGAGGAACATTGCTGTGACCTCTCATCTCCTCCAGAAACACCTTGATGCAGATGTCTAAGTCTTTCACGTACGTTCGTTCGGTTTGTAGTAGTTCGGCCATTATAAATCTGCAAAAAATCAATTATAAATAAACGTAGCCTATATCAAATCATTATATCAGTCAATTAAAACAACAACACAATGTTGTTGTACCTAAATATGAGTGAAGGAATGATATGAGAGTGGCTGTATTTATGGCTATTACACCAACAGTATCTTTAAACAGAACGATTTATCAAAAACCCAATGCTCAAGGGCAAATGAGTCTAGTTTGAAACCATAAAAAAGCAAGAGACTTTTATCCTTGAACTGGGAATCTACTGCATTACATCCACTCAAGTCATGTTTCATATCACATCATATATGAAAGTTCCCAAAACAATGCTTACCTGACAAAACACGAAAACAGTATAACTGCTTTTACTTTTTTACAGTAAAACATGTTTTTACACATAAGAAATAGTGCATTTATCTTTAACAGATTAGAAAAATCAAATAAATGGTCTTTTACCAGGATTCACAATATACTTGATATAACTCTCCTATTGACTGCATAAGTCGATATAGTTTTACTTACTCTTTTCTTCTTGCAGATCTTCTCTTTTCTTCATTCAACTCTTTGAGATCTTTGGTTGAGTCTTTCACTTTGGATTCAAGCGAAGGGTCTGAATTTCTATCGATTGAAAGCTCTTGTCTACTTTCTGCTTCAGCCTGGATTCCCAATGTTCCTTCTAACTGCGATCTAAAAAGGTACGTTTATTATAAGTCAATGTTTCTACCTATAGTTTATAGTTATGGCTGATTATACCAGTGAATAAAGTAAAAAGTCTATCTCTATTCTAAGAAGAAGTTATCTTATGTTTGTACGAAAAATCAGTGTTATGGATCTTTTTTTTTGTGTATCAGCCCCTGGACAAAACCTTTTCTGATATAAACAAGCTGAAATCTACTGATTCTATTAGGGAGGATGTTTAATATCACATTGGAAGAGGTAAATAAAGTTTTAAATAAGGCCGATGAACTAGAGTAAAAAGTAGAGGTCTCGTAAATGAGCCTTGAGGGACACCTCAAAGTCAATAAGTATGTTACTAAATTGACAATCATTTCCAATCATCTCACCTGTACTTGTCCATGCGGCAGCTGAAGTCTTTGTACCGGTTGTCTACCGCAGCCACCCATTGTTTGATGGCCGCTGCGTGAGCATGACCCTTCTCCACCAGACTATCGGCCAGCTGTATCAGCAGCTTCACTCGCTCTCTCGTCTCCTTCGCCGACGCCTTGAACTCATTGTGTTCTACGAGCAGCGACTCTGTCTCATCCTGCCAACAAACATCTCCTTGAGTATTCATGGAAATATTGCTATATAAAATATAGATCATGAGTCGGGCCATCTACGTCATCCACATCACCTGTTTACAGAAGTGCCCCTGGACATAAGACGGCACACGGTATGCAACACAATCTTTATGGTTAGAAACAACCCATCTAGTGCTGCGATTTCCTTGACCTATTAACTGCTGTATGTGAAATGTTATTTTGAGTGGGCAGCCAAAGCAGTTATAGTGCTCGCATTCAAATCTGAGCTTCGCTGGTACGATTCTTGCCTTTACAACGACAAACCAGTCGTTGATACAACAAAAAACTTATATGGTTTGGCTATATATTGGACAGAATCATCTGTCTTTGGCCTATCATTTGATGATGCTATTTTTTTTACAAAAAGTCAATGTTAGACCAAAATTTGGAATGTCCCTTAACAAAAAACCTAAAAAAATGTCAATGCTGTTGATTAAGGGAATAAGAAAAGACGTTTAGTAGCATACTTTCGTAGTTGTAGGGCAACAGTTGCACATCCTTTATAGCCACAAATAATGATAAGAATAATTTAGGTTGGTGACTAAATTTATATACATAGACTTTGGTTTGGGTCTTCAACTTAAAATATTGTCACTATGAATACATTTAACTTTTTGAAATTCGGCAAACATACAAATTTTTATAAACAAAAAAATTTTGTTTATAAATCACTTATAAACATGAAAAGCAGAAATATTTAGGGCAAATAATAATATTGGATAAGCTAACCAATTGAACCATTGCTTAAATTTTCATGTTTGAAAAAAAATACAGTCAAACAAGAATAGTCAATAGAGATACTTTACTCTACAAAATTTCTAGGTATGTAAATATTGATTAAAAACTGCACTAATTACACACCTTGTTTTGCTTCCTAACAAAATACTTATAATAAATATGTTTGACGGGAGCAGCTATTATGTTGCCCATAACTGTGATGCCTAACCACATTGTGTAGACTGGTGAGCCTGTACAGTGTACTGAGACTTCATTAATGTATTCCTGCCCACACTCGTAGCAACTTGCAACACTGCTATATATCACTGGGGCTCAGGTGCCCACACTGCTTATATACACAATACAGGTGTGCAGCATACCATGTGTGGGTTATTTGTGTGTAGCTAATATAACTGGATGTTAGGAGGCGTTCATACATATTCTAGGTGTTATTTCAAGTTAATAGCTTAGTATATAATAAATAAATTCCAAACAATTTATGGTTGATTAGTCAAAGTTAAGATCACAAGTACGGGAAACATTTCTCACATCATAAAACTGAGACAAATCACAGCTGGAGACATCGTACCAAACAGCAGTTTTACCCATTTTCACTCGACACCATCACTAAACAACACACCCTACACACAACACGCACCACTACTGTCTGGATCCACACTTTGGCGCTACAGTCTAGGGCCGCTAATTTGGCACTGGCCACAATGGTAATTACTGCACCGTCTATAAATAAGCAGTACATCACCTTCCCAAAGTGAATGTTTACATGGTCTTGAGGATTTAGTTGCAGTTAATTTCTGTGGTGATGCAGTAAAGATAAAGTAAGAGATTATTTGTGGATCCATGTAAATAGGTGTAACAAACAGTTGGACCAGTTATGTGTGCGGATGAATTCTAAAGTAAACTTCAAGTAATGTGTTAACACAACAAAATCTTTATATTTTTGTTTAGGTTACAAAATCTGGAAAATTTATTTATGAAGATAAATTATTGTAACTCCTCAGAAATATTATTATACAGGCTCACCCACTGTTTTTGAAAATACTATATATTAATAGGCAAGCTAGTTTCTTGAAAACATTTTTCTCAGCTTGTGTGTATCACAGGGAAAATCATGATTCATGATGAATAAAGATGTTTGAATATGAATATAATTATGCATACTGTTTGAAAGATAATTTCCTGTAGATGTGCAGAGTCGCTTTATAAATTAAAATAGGCTAAAAAATAAGCACAAAAATACAAAATTAATTTTAAAAAATAAACATCAAATTTTTGGGTTCTTTGAAGTATTTATTTCAATCAAAAGTCAAGGGGAAAATTTTGACAAAAACATACCCTAAGTTTAACTTTTTTTGTTACTGAGAAATTTAACATCAATAAGTAATTCTTTATATTTATGTATGAAAAATCTTTTCACGACTTAACAAATTTAAAGACAAATACAACTTTTGTGATCTCTTTTAACTGAACAATGCTGTTTTCAGTTTATGTTTCCAAGCCAAATGGTGTAAGCTGAATAACGAGCGTGACTACTCAGCCAAAACAGAAGCACTGCCAATGTTCAATTACTTTCAATTTTGTTGAGTGCAAGTCTGGTAGTCAAGCTTTTACAGCCAGCGAGTTTTGAACATCCATGTTTAAAGAGCCAATGGGATTTATTTTTGTGTTTGTTTTGTAATTTTTTTGACATACAGTAGACTCCCTCTTATCCGGACAGCTTTTTAACCGGACCACACTCGGTAGAAGTGACATCTCTTTATCCGAATAATTTTTAACAGCACATCGGTTTAACCAGACTAGATTGGCAGGAAGTGGGCGGTACTGAAACGACTGTTCTCGTGGGAAAGGTTTGAGACCAGTGATTATGTGTCTAAATACAATGCTCTCCTAATTTTAAGTCAAATACTGTATAGAGTATGCACTTAAACGGTCCGTTTTAATGAGATTTTGGGTCGTCGGTTTATCCGGAAAAACCGTTATCCGGACTGGCCTTGGTCCCAAGGAGTCCGGATAAGAGGGAGTCTACTATATTCATTTTTAGAATTTTTAAAGGAACAGTCCAAAACTTGGTCTTGTTACTATCAAATATTAACAGTTTTTTAGATAGCACGATTAAAGAGACCAAATTAGCATCTTGGTTCAGAACCGATTCTGCTTGGAAAATCAAACCAACAAACTAAAGACGAGATCTATATACCACTCAGCTTTAGACATTTGTGGAAGGTTGGAATTTTAACCCGAATACCCTGAACAGAAGACCCACCCTCTAGTATGACAAACCAATGAAACCAGGCTCTACACTAGCTGGGTTGCTTAGTGGTTTTAGTGATCACCTAGTAATCAATGGTCGCCAGTTCAATACTGAGAAAAGTGTGTACAATCCTGAGAAAGAGGAGAAAACAGTAACAAAGATACACAGGGCATCTCACTCCATTTTACACTCATCCTTCACTCATATTTGGGTTAAAATACACACCTAGATTGTGTCCAATCTCAATTGATAATAATAATATAACTAACCTGGGTTGCACCGACGCTTGTGTGCGTGGACAGGTAATGTTCACCAGTCTCATGTATCCACTCCATGGCTTGCTGCGCCGAGCGCTCAAACAGCACAAACTGCTGACATTGGTCCAGCCGCTTCTTGCGCTCGCTCCAGTGTTCCAGCACTCGATTCTCCTGGCTCAGCAGCTTGTCTGTGATTGCTGTCAAACAGAAATACTACCTTAGAACTGACAACTTATTTAACTGGCCAAAATCCTTTATTCTGACAGATCTTTTGAAATTAGGCCTTTAAACCGTTCAAAGGCTAAATGACCCAAAAACTATGTTGTAAAATATTCGTTACAGATTCTATAGTACACGCCTCACTAAAATTGAGTGTTTTAGGATAATTTCCAGGTGACTTACCAACGGATAATTAACGTGTAGAATATTATTAACATAATCATGGTTTCAGATGAGCGAGTAGAATATCTTCTAATATTTAAATGCAAGTTATTTAGTGGTAGTTGTATATCTGAAAGACCCTTCATTTTTACCAAATAACCATCGATACATGGTATATTTTCTTATCTTTTTACATTTTCATTTCTCACCTTTGACTCTTGTCTCTGAGCTGGCCTCGGACCCGCTGTAATTGTAGTACTGCAGACTTCGGTTGGTGTACTTGAGGAACGTCTCTGCAGTGCGGCGCGCCAGCGTGCACGCCTTCAGGAACGCCTCCTTCTGCTCCTGGTGTTTGTTGACCAGCTGTCCGATGTTCACTCCACTGCTGGCACCGCCTCCGCACCAGTCCTCGTCTCTCTTGTACTCCCTCTCTAGGCTATCTAGCACACTGCACACCTGCGGACAAACAATTTTTTTCAATTTTATTTGTGTTTCAACACCATCGGTATTAAAAAAAAAAGATTTCTAATAAAATAATTTAAATTTAGATGATGTTACTGTCTAGAGGAGCGAGCTAGTCTAGTGGTAGAGTGCAGGACTTCAGTCTATGAGGTCTGGTGTTCAAATCCCACTGAAAACCAATGTATTTATCAAAGTGATACCCTAGGCTTTGCATCCTAGGGCAAAAAAGTCTAACATCAAACATTTGTTATAGATTGATGGCTCAATGAAAAATGAATTCTGAATCCAGAATCAATCTTAAAACTGAATCAACAACCTCAAGATTGGGAGTTTAAACACCATAACCTCTGGGATACCAATATAATTTGACCCCCCGATAAGTGAACCACAACAAAACGTTTGCTCTAAACTATCTAATCATAGAAAATTTTCACTGGATTGACAGGATTGTAATGTTGACTATCAGGACTGATGTCCTTCACTCTTACAAAAAGTTGGTATAAAATGCTATGACTTTCTACATTTCACCTAACGTTTTTAATTGATGGAATTTTAAATACTGTTAAAAGAAAACCACTGATTATGAACCAGCTTAAATATATTACGTTCGTTTAATTTTTTTCAGAGGAAAAAGTTACATTCTATAAATGAAAATACTGCTAGTAATATTCTTTGCAGAAATAACCAAAAGTATAACTTACTTTTGAAATAAAAGATTTTTTCGGCTGCATTACTTTTGAAATGATTTTAATCCTAGTTAATGATAATACACATCACACAATAAAGAAATGTTATCTGCCCAATGAAACACTAAAATATAAGGTGTTTAAACAGCTGTGCAAATGGCGTGTAAGTAAACATCATTACATTTTCCCATTCGTGTTCGATCTGTTTCAACTAAACCCGAATGATAACAGTGTACAAACAGGCTCCTCACAAGTTTAATGAATGCGTAAGTAAACTTATATGAACTCAAACAAAAAATTGTATTAGTAAAATTCAACATTTTAAAAGTGGATATTTTTTTCTCGCACATGTATTATTTTCATTAGTAGCTTAAAAAGCTGCAAGTTCAAATGCTTTATTTGACAAATCAACATAGCTATAATGCAATTACCATAATTCCAAATTACATGAATTAAGAAGTTTTCAGCAATTTATAAGTGTGTAGTAACAAATAATTTTATTGACCCCACCTCTATGATTGCAGGATTATATAAATGACAAAACAATTGTATTTTTTATTATCAAAAACAAACCAATATGTAAATATCATGGGGTGATGTTTCAGTAGATTTAATTTATTCTATCGTCAGGCTTCACACAGAGAATCCAATAGTAGTCTTGTCAATCATACATTTAAAGAGTGATTTACACTCAGCACATTCAAAACAGATATGCAATTTATATTTCATTTTAGATGTATACACCGCAAACAATTGAATTTGAATTTTTTTATTTAAAATTGTTATTTGACGTATTTCCCAGTGGCAAGAACTAGAATATTTAATTATTGAACTGTTGTTACCTTTGCCTTTGTTCTTGCAGAAAGGTGTTAAAATCCTCCTCATTAAAAATAGTTGTTGTTTTGAAATAATAAAATATTTAACAAGCTTACATGAGTAACCTAAATTAGGAAAGTTTATTCAAGATTGTGAGGGTAACTTTTTATTTCACGGATAATAATAAATTTTCGACTCCCACTTATTTTCTACCGTCATCATAATCTAATAAATCATACATTAATTTATGATTAACTAATATAAAACTATGATTATACATCTATACTCTGTAAGATGGAACCTGACTCTCTATCTACCTGGACACTAGCCAATGGTTTATAACCCAGGTCAGTCCTAGGTAATCGGAGGGGTAGGAGACAGGTTCCATCATACAGACTATAACTTTTAAGACATGAAACACATGAAAAAGTCAATTCTGACATTATGAACATAAATTAGGGCTACTTAAGTGAGATTTTCAAAGTCAGTGCAGTATAAGCAATTGTTCCAAACCGGTGTTCTGATGCCAGATTTTAGGCAGATTTATCTTGTTAAAATATTCTCTTGAATCAGTGTTCAGATAAAAAAATATTATTTAAGCCAACATTATTTTAACACTGATTACATCTGAGGAAGGGCCTAAGAACGTAAATAAAGTCATAGATACAAAGCATATTCCACAGTTCTATATTTCCACGTAAATTCCAGTATTTATAGACTTTTCAGCTGACCTGTTCGGCAGTCTTGTAGAAGTTGAGGCTGGCAGTAACGAGTTTGTGTCTTTCCTCAGCGCAAGTGACCAGCTGTTGCCACCGTTTGGTCACCTCCTCACTGATGTCCCTGATACCAGCGGGGTCGTAGTGATTGGCGTTGACTAACGCCTCCGCTCTGTGCTTCACTTGCACTGCTGACGTGTGCGTCTTCTGTAAAATAAGATAGGATAGGATTAATAAATTGATAACTTTGTTTTGCTGCAAATTATCACTGTAATCCTGTATACAGCTCAGGAAACCTGTACAGAAGAACAGATTTTGTGGTGATGATAAGAAGTAGGAGAATTTTGTACATGTGAGAAGAAGAGAGGAGGATGCGAAAATAAGGGTGTGGAGAGGTGGACCAGAAGGAAGACCAAGATGAAAATGGGGTGACTACATGACTGGATATGTAAGAAGATATGGGGGAGAAGTGGACATGGTGAAAGACAGATGAGTCTGGAGGTAATTTTTTGGCAAAAAATAAACTTGGATTTGAGTGGCCGCAGGAGTAAGAGAACACTATAATTGTAACTTCCAGCTAATAATAAGTAAGAATAAAAAGTAAGGTCGCAATTTTGATTCTCTCAGTCTTCTAATGGAGCTTGTTGAAGAATCACGTGACTGGTCGAAATCAATCACCTTTGACACATCGATCATATCTACGTTCTTGTAAATTATTACAGTGTAAGTGCCTATAAATGGAAGAGTGTTAAAGAATATATTTTATTGTATTGGTGTAATCAGCAAAACATTGACATCCTACTGCGTAGTTAACTGGAGTAAAAATCAGTTAGGAGTAAACTTTAAGCAAAGGAATTGGTGCACAACTAAATCACATAAGAAATATGGTTCAGTCAGATTGTAGCACACACTACAATTAACTTCTCCAATCAATAATTGTTTAATGAAAACGCCGGTTTGAAGCTATATTTAAAAAATAAAAAATAAACAAGTAAAACAAAACTCAAGATATAAAATTTAAGGAGAAATCCAATATTTTGTTAGTTTTGACAAATGATGATAGTTTTACCTCAATGGCCACTTGGAACTGTTCGTGTTCTTTTTTCAGCTGTTCCGCCTCCGGTAAACAGCTGGGAACTGTGAAACTGGCCATCAACATCGCCTCACCATTGCGAATCCAGCTGACCACCTGGTGTAGGACATCACAAATAAAATACAACATTGTAAAACCCACTGTAGCAACACTATCAGAAACTATACACAAATTTAAACATACATAGAAATATTCTAAACATTTATATCACTTCTGAAAAATTTATAATTTAACTGGTTGAGAATAATAAAACACATGTCTATTGTAACTCTCTCTTGCACACAACTTCATGGTTATAAGGAAACATCCTTGGCCAAGAACATTGATAAGCAAACAACAGCTGATAAGTGAGAAATGACTAACACTGTTTGGATGGACCTATCTGATCGCTATCTGAAGAAGGAAAAATATAAACTATTAAAAATGCTAACATTTTGAAGTATTGTTTCTGTTGCTACACAGGGTAGGCAATAGTGTGACGTATGATGACAAATGTATGATCCAAGTTGTACATAGCATGGCGTAGCTATGCATAGACTTAGAAGGTCGTTAATACGTACAAACTATATTTGTATCCAATTTCAACACTGCCAATTAATTCCTAAAGTGAGAATTTTATATTGTACAGTACCATCTTTAAATGTGTACTGAGGGTTAAATTAACTGTTTGAATCTAAATTGTATGACACAACAACTGTCAAATAAGGTGTGTCTTTAATTATTCTTCAATAACAATGCTAATTGCATGTCCATCTGAGCAAAAATAATCTTTATCCACCATCCTAAAAACTTCGATAATATGGTCCTCAATAATCCAGACCCTCAGGCATTTGGCTTAACCCCTAATCCCAAAAAAATCATAGCCTAACAGTTATAACATGAAATTTCATATCTAAGTACAGTACAATAGTACAATATTTCTGGGCGTGACATCAATCATACAACTCCAGACAAGCACATTACCTGGTTGGCGTCGGCTCTGAACTGACACAGCTGCACACACTGCTCCAGCTTGACTCTCTTCATCTCCGCAAGATCCTCCAGATCCATCTCTCTCTCATGTAGGAACTCTAGCAGCACCTGTACCCTGGTCTGGGCACTGTACTGACTGTCTGCCATCAGAGACACTCCGCTGGTCTCAAACACCTGCAAAACACAACACGGGATTGGTAAACCGCCTCAGAGATTAATTACCATCAGAGAAATGTGCCTCAGAGGTGCATGGCCATCAGAAAAAGGTGACTCAGAGGTGTATGGCCATCAGAAAAAGGTGACTCATAGGTGTGTGGCCATTAGAAAAAGGTGCCTCAGAGGTGAACAGCCAACAAAAAAAGTGACTCTTAGGTGCATGGCCATAAGAAAAGCCACTTCAAAGGTACTTGGCCCCTTGAGAAAAACCCAAATAAAAATTTAATTTGGGGTGGTAAAGTTTGTGTGTAAAATAAAAAGCAAAGTATACTATAATCATAACTAAAGTCGTTTTTACATGAATAAATGGAAAAGATTCAAAAACTGATAAAAAGCACCACGATAAATAACCAGCTTTGAGCTTGTCTTCCCTGAATTTAGAAAAGTATGCAGGATACTAATACTATCTCTCTTTCACACAGCTGTCTATACAAGGAATGATTGCTGAAGTACCTGAGCCAGTTCCTGTCCCTGCTGCAGCACTTGGAAGGTAGTGTTCTGCATGTGCGTGATGCTCTCATTGTGTAGCCTCAGCATTGTCTCGGCCTTCTGCATATCATTGGTGAGGTCACAGTGCTCCAGCTCAGAGGCCCACAGTTCCAGCCTGGAGGACACCTACACACATACACACACACACACTCGGTCACTTGTTGTATACAGAATACCACTGAATTGGTTCTCACAAGATTATTAGATTATTCATTCTGATAGCCCCTGAACTACGAATAATGACTTATATAGGCTTACCTCCCTCAGTAGTCCAAAATTGTCTCTTATTTCAACTAATGATGTTCAAAGCTTACATGTTTCGTTGCACTGCAACATCATCAGAGCTTTATGTCAAAAACATCAAATAATTAAAACATAGAACAAAACACGGAACACAAAACATTTAAACACAAAATAACACGATAGCGCTATCATGACACGGCACGGCAGCGGTTGTAGGTAGACGTGTTGAATGTTTTGTGTTCCGTGTTTTGTTCTATGTTTAAATTATTTGATGTTTTTGACATAAAGCTCCAACGATGTTGCAGTGCAACGAAACATGTAAGCTTTGAACAACATTAGTTGAAATAAGACACAATTTTGGACTACTGACGGAGGTAAGCCTATATAAGATTATTAGAGATTGAAAGTATATATTAAACAAACTCTCTGATACACTTAAACCTTAGTCTTAGGGTGACGACCATGTCCCAAGTAGCACCACAATATTGATCAAATGTTGAAACAATATTGACTTCAACATTGAGACAATATTATTATGCTACTTGACAAATATTTTTTGACTGGCAAAAGCACTAGCCAAGGTTTGGGATGCGTTCAATCAAAATCCATCTTTGGGCCAAGCAACAATTTAAGTGTAGGTTCAGTTGAACTGTAAATTCCTTAAAGATGGATTTTTGACACACATCTGAAATGGCAGCCAGTATTTTTGTCAGTTCATCTCCACAGTACACAAATTTGACTGCCAATTTTGATTGTCTGATTGTGGAACCGCTTTCTCTCTCATAGATGGTTATCTTTCAATTAGCGGAAAAAGCTTGCTTGAGTGGTCCATCTTCTATTTTATTTTTTTCCATGAATTTTAAAATCAAACAATCGATTTGCATAGTATTGTAAGTGAATAATTAATAAGAATTATCCTGATTATCTACTCTTTGATAAACTATTCTTTCTGTTTTTAATTGGTTTTAAAAATTTAACCATAAACATAAAATAATAAGATTAATTTTGTCATCTAATTTTTTCCCCTCTACCATGAAAGAAAATAATTGTTAAATTTTATCCTTCTAATTCTTATAACTGAGAATAATCCTAAAGACAGTAACTCACATGTAACCGATCCCCATACAAAACAACATGAACAATAACAGTAAATAATGGCTTGTGTCAGTATGATATAAGGCACACTTGCAAGCGAACGCAAGAAGAATTGCAACAAACTGGTTTGTTAATTCCGACCAGTTTGAGTGGGGAGGGAGGTCGCTGAAGTGATGGTTCATCAACAACATAAAGGACAAATTTATCAAGCATCTGATTAATTGCTACAAATGAGCACAGAACTGGACCCGTTCTCATGACTCTGTGTTGCCCTTACATCTAAAAGAGTTGCTAATTAATTATCTCTTTGACAAATGTTTTGGAAACTCTACAATCTACATAATGAAAATATTAATGATGAAAACGGTTGTAAATCCCAAATAATGAGTTCTTTGTTGCATTAAAGCTGTATTATCCTTTAAAAGAATTATAGTGGGGATGTTTGTAAAATTAATTTCCTAGAGATGGAGAAAAATTATTAATTACAACATGTCTAATGTGCTCTCATCATATAGAAGATTTAATGGTAAATTTTTTGATGGTCTGAGAGGTTAAGCATAATTGTTTTTTTACATGCCCCTAAAGTCTTACTGCAATAAACATGGCTACATTTATACATGTATTGTGGTGCTATGTATAAATATCCCTTTATCAATATCTAAACAAACTTTAATATTAAAAATCAGTAAATACATATGAAATTATTATTGTGTTTGCAGACTAATTTATCACATAAAAATAAAAAGTATAGTAACAGATGTTCGTATGTGCGTTTTGTATTTGAATACAATGGAAATTATTTTGGGAGCTAACTTATTATAAAGGCAATTCATGTTGCAAATTTACATTTTATGGATTATTTAACCTAGAGGATGACACAGTATGACAAAACAATTGTTTAGGAAAGGATCCGTCCTAAAATTTATCCCTGGGGGATACCTTGAGGTATTGGTTCTCTTTGAGAAAGTATTCCATCGATTTCAACAAACTAAGAACGATCTGTCAGGTAAAAAGCTGACAACTTGTGCGGAATGCTACGAATGCCGTTTGTCGCTAACTGGTGCAACAGTATCTCATGATGTACGCAGTCAAACACTTTGGAGAGGTCAAAGAAAAATAATCTAAGCACACTTCCTCGCCTCCTGAAGCAATCGACAACTATTTCAAAGAGATTGCACCAACAGTGGATTTCTCACTACTGAAACCAACTGATTTGCTGAGTTGATGTCAAAGCGTTCAAGACATTTCTGAGGAAAAACTGTTGAAAATAGTTGATATAAAATTAGGGCAACATTTTGTTGGTCTTATTCTTGGTTTATCTATACATCCAAAAGATTTCAAAAGCAAGAACTTTACCTCTAAAGCATCTCTCTCGAACAGCCGCAACCTGAGACACAGGTCCAGCCTGAGTTTGCGAGTGGCCCATAACTCTTCCAGCTCCTCTCTCTGTTTGTTGAGTCTGTCCAGAGCAGATTCTACTGCAGCCACTGAGCCTGTGGAGTCCATCTCTTGTGTCAGTCCGATACTCCTACAACACAACATCACACATAAAATAAACTGTCAGTCAGCAATCTTACACAGTCTTTCTTACATTCTTTTTCTTAGCTTGTCAACAACCCCCTTATGGGTAAGGGGTGGGAGTAACTATAATATTTTATGGGAAAATCACAAAAGATGCAATAACTTTCAAACTAAAATGTTTACAGGAGTGCCATTTTATTATAGTTTAAAAAAGCACAACATACTAGATTTTAAACAAAATCGTTATGCTTGTTTTTGTAAAATATGATTTTTTTTCACACATATGACATTACTTTTAAAATCATTTTTTGGGGTCAGGGAAACCCATAACGGACATTTACACCCAAAACTAAAAATAGAAAATTTTAACAAAAAACAAAATTCTTTCTCCCGTATGTAAAGGGAGATAAGTAAAAATCAAATTAAATAGACAATATTCATTGATTATTTGACATCAAACAATTTTCCAGATAGTATTTGTAGCGTACAAATGTATATAAAATATGTCTATTAATTATATGTGTTGTTAAGTTTTTACAAGAAAAAGTAAAGCTGTTTTAGAAATTACAAAAACGTTTTCTTCAGTTATATGAGAAAACTTAAATCAATGATTGATATTATTGTAATTAAAATTAACTTAATCACTGAACTGCAACCACAAGAGAAGTAAAAATTTATATTCTTTGAAAATCAAATGTCATTGATTAATAGCATAAACAACATTGAAATAAACCAAAATCAAGACAACCTGATGAAATACAAAGTTTTAAAACCTTACTTACACTGGCTTGCGACATCTTCTCGAATTCAAAGGACGTATTTTAATCCTGCCGTCTCGATAACGTCGATGCATCATATTTATTGACAAAATACTATCAATGTCTCACAACAACTTGCACAGTGCATATATTTGACGGTAAATATTTTGATTCAATCAAGATGATGTTCAGTTTCTTTCACTGGGTAAAAACAATACCAGAATAAAATATTTTTGGATTCTTTTGCTAATGGCACTAAAGTTTATACCAAGTTACTTGCCCTTTTTCAAATGCATAAAATACTTTTAACAATACTGAAACATCTGCATGTTGATGATTTTAACCGTTTACACTAATCCAGTAAAAATATATTTTATGAAAGGTGTTTTAGAACAAGGAACCTGCTCATCAATGCAACAAACACATAACAAAATCAACACCACGTTGAATAAAATAGCTGCAGTCAGCTTTTGAAAGACAGAAATGAATTTTAAATACCCGCAGAGTCGCATTGCCTTGAGCATATTTTCTCAAACCTAAGACAATGGAGGCATTTTTAACATTTCAGTTTCACCATAAACTTCGCAATACAAAAGTTTTAAAATGATTTAAACATTTCTATACAAAACATTAGCCTAACTATTATAATTTTGTTGGTTTGCTTATTCTATTGGTAAAGGCACCCAGAAGACAAGAATAGGAGGAGGCAAGACAGAATAATGTGGATATAAAAATAAATAAAGAAGCTAAGTTAACTATTGTAAGCAAATAAACATTCAAATCGACATACATTCTAGTAATATTTTACTGTACTGTCGTACATAAAAAATAAATAAATAGAAGAGCCAGTTTTAAGTTTTCTTCAAAAGCCATAAAATATACTAAAATAAATTCAATTTAGGAATTACAAATACTAAATACAGCATTGTGTTATGAAAAAGTAAAGATGAAACAGCGACTGTTTTCTAAGTTTTAACTTCAAACTACTTTCTTTGTTGCATATACATCATTATAGATTCCATCTCTAGACATAGTTTGTAAATGAGCACCAGGCCATTTCAAGGAGGCCAGTTGGCCATGTTATTGACCATAACTGGACACACAGTCCACTTACTGTCCAGACTCTCACAAGGCCAAGGGCTTCCTAGAACAGTGGTTCTCCTTACTAATCTTCCTCGTAAAAACTGGACCACTGGACCGAACCGCATAAATAGTTCTCAGAAACCATCTACTGCTCGTAATTTACAGTCAAACACATTGCTCATGTACCTAAATTCTTACAAAAATTAATGTTGAGAACGAATGGGTTTTTTGACCAATTGAAAAAGAGGGGTTTAACGCGTTTTAATGTCTTATACAAAGGAATCATGTTTCGGTGTTTCCCAAAGCAAACCTGATACAAGCATCTTAAAGAGAGTGTTATTCTGAGTTGAAAGGCAAACCGTGTACGTTGTAAACAGAAACACGAATTTCAGCTTTGGCTCAAACAATAAAGCCTTGTCTCACCTTTTTGTTAAAAATGCTGAATTAAAAGCGTTAGAAGAGAACTAGTAGCTTTATGTTTTAGATGGATAAATATTTCAAGTGTAGGCCTACCATAGATCGTATCAAGAAGAAATACATCAATTGCTGGTTAAAATACAATTTTTTACAATGCGAATCTTAATTCCATCGTTCCTTGATTTATTGGTAAAATATTTTAGCGGATAAGAACGTTACTGAGTATTTCTAAAAACAATTATCAGAATTGTGGTGATTAAACATGTTCGTGCCTAGTCAGATCTGACCCAAAACCCTCACATAAATCAATTCATATCTGAATTCCGACCTTTCAAGGGACCAAAAACAGTTATTTATTCGGGGCATAAATCATTTAGTCACATTTGCCAGTGAAGGGTGGTTTAGTGGGGAGGGGGGGGGGGTAGAACAGCTGAGCGAGATATATGTATACAGGTCAGTGTGGTAGACAGTGTTGAATCATTCATCAACTCATGCTCGTCATCATGAGGTTGTCATAGCAACGATAAATTCTGATATCGTCCTGTACTTTTGAATATAGTTGGGTAGAGGGTGATAATGTTAGCCTAGTGATCAAAGATAACCGGTTCAATCCTGAGTAAAGCCAGAAGCTTTTGGATGGTTCGAAATTAGACTGCAATCCGTATTCCTCATGATACATATTCCAGCTGTTCTCAAGATGGCACTCTTGAATAAACTGGTTATTGAAACAGCTGATCAGTCAGTAACAAAGACACAATATCATTCAACACTCATTTTCGCCTCAAAATACAGGGTTGTATAGGCGTCATATGAATCTGATACAATTGCCAAAAATGACAATGGAATTGAATTAAAGTTCAAGCCATTCCCAACACAATGTATTGATTTAGAAGGAAAACAGAAATTGCCTCTGTTCTAGCTTGAGACGAGAAGTTTTTAATAACAATTCAACACGAGTTTTGTGGTGTTTAAATAGTTAAAGTTTGAATTGCATAAACTGTGTACAACTGCACTAATAGCATTTGCTCAATTCCTAAATTTGGATAACATCTCCTATTCAATCGTATAACATCAACATATTGACTCATTAGTTGAGAGTTTGGTTCGTTCACCTTCAAATCTTGATTTAATCTTTGGTTTGTTAAGGAGCTATTATGGAACCATTTGCAATACACAAAGTTATTTTGATGATTTCTAATAACATGTTGACGATTAGTAATTAACGAAGTCATGGTTACAAAATTCTTTTGAAAAACTTAATTCAGTAGAGGTCTTGAAGATGTGTACATCAAAATCAATATAACTAGATTAAATGTTAGTTCCTTAGAGACCCGACATAATTTCAACTGTATATGTAAAAAACAATTTTAAAAACCCGCGATTGCGTAGACGAATCAAGCATAATTGGACAAATTTCAAATCCGCACATTCATTCAGAATATATATCGCACATCTTTTACAAATCGCACTTTCTTTTCGTACAAAAACCGCGGCGGCATAACAGGGGGTCGGGTTACTTGAACGCGATACTTGAACCTTGTGAGAACATCAGTGGCCCGACGATTCATACATGTGGACTCCTACTTTCATGTATACAGATCGCATATCCGGATATATAGCTTACAGTACATTTATGCAGCTGATTATGAAGAAACTGCATTTTTATAAAATATGATTAAGTGTAATAGCCTAAGTTGTAAATGAACAAAACAGTTTTAACGATTTTAAGAGAAAAATTACAAAATAATTATTAATATAATTCTTTTAAATAAAGACAACACAAAAATAAATTTTTTTTAGCCATCAAAAATGTTTAGATTTCATGGTAGCTTTAATCGTAGTGATTTAAATTCATGATTTGAGTCTAAAATGTCTATATCGTCACTGAAGATTAATAGGCCATAACGGGTGACTCTTAAAAATCTTGAGATAGGACACAGCCATCGAGTGAAACCTAGAGATTGTGAGCGTTAAACCCTATCCCATGACGCCTGTTTTATCACCAGTTGTAAATTCAAATTTAATGGGAGTTTGTAAATTTACAGTCGACATCGCGGTGTTCAAACCGCCGTGCGTATCACTGTAAATCTTACAACATTAACGTCAATACAGCTAAATTGACTTGAGTTAAATAGTTTAATTTGAAAATTGATTACAATAAGTCGAAGGTGCAAGGCGAAACCGTAATGGGAAGATTATATTGGAATTTCAATTAGGCAAGCCAAGAAACTCAATATAGTACAATTTAAGATTTAGTGAATTTTAAAAATATTAACAGGTTGTAAAATCGAGTTCTTGAAGTTAAGCGATATATTTTACGATCGACGCTAGCTCAGAGTAAGATAGTCAATCATTTAAGACCGGTTATAAATGAAAATTAAGTACACTAAACCCTAGGGAGCCTATAAACTATAAAACTATAAAATGTCGAGGTTAAGGCAACTTGCTACGAAGTATAAAAAAGAGAAATTAATTTATGTATTTATAAACATAATGAGTTATACCTTTATGGTTTTTTTTTTACGTCCTACAATGTTAAATGTCAATACCCGTAAGTTGTAAAAATGATTTTATTAGTGAGAAATGTGTATTATTATTATAAAAACTTCAGAGTGTAAAAACCTACTCAGGTACAACCTGTTTCAATAAAATATTTGACAATAATAATACGAGTATATTGGAACAAATAAATTTGAAACGTAACGAAAATCCAAAATTTCTTTGTAAGGTCTCATAATAGTTAATTAAA